ATAAGAGACTTTCCTTTCCCCCCTCGGCTCCGAGGGCCACGAGCACATCTCATCGGAGCCTGGAGGTTGGGGGAACAAGTGGGGAGATGGATCCTTGAATCTCTGCAAGGACATGGGGGCACTCGAAGGGCCATTTCCCGAGCAGGAAGCCTAAGAAACAGGGTTAAGAGGACACCTGGGACCAGGAGAGACTAGAAAAGAGAGAAGTCAGGCTGAGGGGACAAGCCCCCAGGCGTCCAAGAGACACTGAGAAAGGCCCAAGTGGAAGCCAAGGTCCTGGGAAAACCATTTCAAGTCAAGTATTGCCTGACAAGTGACGCAGACAGGACTGAGAGAAACGGGAAGGAAGACATTCTCTCGCTTCAGCGGTTTTCTCTGTCCTCAATCACGAGTCTGTTGGGTCTCTGCTTTATACGAACCACAGTTGGCGTCTATTTCATGCTCGCCAGGCGCTGTTCTCAGCATCACCTGAACTGGGCCGTCTAAACCACATGGAAGGACACCGGTCCCCGCAAGGCGGAGCCGGGTTTGAAATAAGGGCTCAGGGATGCTCTTCCAATAGGCCAGGGTCGAGCAAAGTTTTTCATTAAAGGGCCAGAGAGACTGACTGTTTTGTAGCCCAGTAACTCACCTCAGACATTATAGCACATAGACAATACATAAGGAATGAGTCTGAGTGTGTTCCAATAAAACTTTATTTACAACAACAAGCAGGGGGCTGGATTTGGCCCTCAGACTATGGGTTTGCCCATGCCTGCTCTATGCCATACTATTTTTTTTGGAAAGAAGAGAAAAGAAAGAGACAAAACTAGCTCTGGAATTGTTGTGACTAGTTTAGATCTCAGCTGAACAGTCCCTTGGGACCCTTGGACAGCTTGAAGCTACCACTGCCCAAAGACTGGAAACATACATCTTAGAGGAGAGCGAGAAATTACGAGTTTTCTATTTTGTGTGTGATCCCATGTCTGGGATCTTTCACAGCAAAGTGAGAAGCAGCATCAGTGGATCCATTGGAGCAGGAACCAACTGGCGTTTGGCATTCGGGACCTGGAAGTGAGACCTAAGAAGTTGAGGCAGATGACCCATCTCTCAGATGTAGGGGGAAGCAAAGGAGGGAAAGGAAGACAGTGAGCTCAGAAAAGTAGCTGCTCAGCCAATGGCAGGAAAAAACCAAAGAGTCCAGAGGCCTGCCTGCTGGTGGAACAGAGACTTCCTACAGACTCCCAGCGCCGACCTGGATGAATGCAGGCAGTGGGGGTGGGGTGAGGAGACACATCCAAAGCTCTGATCCCTCAGAGACTAGCTGGGTGAGACCAAGTTCTTACTGGTGCAGCAATCCCAGGTAAACCAAACAGGCACAGAGTTCCGCAGTTTACTGCCTTCCTTTGGCTTAGAGCAGTGGTTCTCAACCTTCCTAATGCCGCGTCCCTTTAATACAGTTCCTCATGTTGTGGTGACCCCCAATTTCAATGTTACAAATTGAACATAATTAAAGCATAGTGATGAATCACAAAAACAATATGTAATTATATATGTGGCTTCCGATGGTCTTAGGCT